GGTCCCCCAAGTGCTAAGATTCCAGGTATAACCATCGTGCCTGGCCTCTATCTTTTTATTTTTTAAAAAATGCAATGAGCGTATACGTAGTGTTATAATGAGGAAAACAGTACATATAAATATTTTAGGTGTTTTAGAACAATTGTTTCTTAAAATGGAGGACAGTTTGGGGAATAGTTAATGATTTTACCACTCAGAAACTCATGGAGACTGCTCGTGTTCTTTCCTTTTGGCACAGGGTTTGACTGAGAAAGAGTCCTCAATACTCAAGGGGTTCATGGATTATAGAAGGCACTTGGGCTTCTGCCCTGTCCAGTACTGTGTGTCTCAGAGAGAGGGCAGACACTTATAACATTCCAATAGAATTTAGTCCATTTTTATCAATTTAGCTAGAACTGTGCCCAGTCAGAGTCTAGGGCTTGGGAGTAAGAGGACATTTCCAATTTGCCCAGTCTGTTTATCACCAATCTCCCATAGTGGATTGGAATTTCATGAGGGCAGGAATTCCATCAACTTGGCTCAAGAAATCCCTAGCACCTGGCTTTCCCAAGGCGCTCACTAAATGGACGTTGAGGAACAAGGGCTGCTGACACACTGGAGCTGCACCAGTTTTTCCCTTGAAAGTGCACTAGACTCTTTTCATTGGAATTCTCTTTCTTAGTTAAACTCTTAGGTCACCCAGCTCACAAATTCAGAGTGAAAAACCCAGAGTCGGCCAAGAAAAGAACCAACGGCACAGAGTTATAAAAGGGCAGAAGACATGCAGAATATGGGGGTGTTGCTTCCCTCCCTCTTTTCCTTCTCTTTCCCTAATTTTTACTTCCCCTCATTTTTTTTTTTTTTTACCAAGCACACACTATGCGCCAGGACTGAAGATACAGACCTTGATCTGGCCATGATAAGAGGTTAAACGGAGCATCCCTAGAATTAACCTTATTCACTAACAACGAGCATCCAGCACTATGTTCCCAGCACTATGCTAAGTGCTCTCCATGTATTGTTTGGTTTATAGGGAACATTATTTTATCCCTTACCTTACAGATGAGCAAACTGAGGTTCAGAAAGGTGAAGTCATGTGTTCATGCTCCCTGGCTGGCCAGGGGTGAAGACCCGGCTTAGACTCCTGCAGTCTGATGCCTGCCCCCCTGCTCTTAATGCCTTCCAGGAAGCTACGCCACAGGTGATCCTGAGATCACTGGCCTCCAGATCCCAAGGGTGCTAGATTTTTTTTAAATGCAGATTTCCAGGCCTGGGACTGACCCAAATCTCTGGAAATGGAGTCTGGAAATCCCTTTTTTTTTCTTGAGTTGGTGTCTCACTCTGTCACACAGGCTGAAGTACAGTGACACACTCAGAACCACTGCAGCCTCGACCTGCTGGGTTCAGGCCATCCTTCCACTCAGCCTTCCAAGTAGCTGGAACTACATGTGCCCACTACTATGCCTGGCTTACTTTTTTTATTTTATTGTAGAGATGAGTTCTCACAAAGTTGCTCAAACCCCTGGGCTCAGGCAATCCTCTCACCTTGGCTTCCCAAAGTGCTGGGATTACAGACTTGAGCCACCACACCCAGCCCGAAATCCCTATTTTTTAAACCACTAACCAGGTACTTCAGTTGTACCCTAAAGTCTGTGTGACATAGCACACAAATACACTGTCCCTGCTCTTTGTGAGTTTGCAAAATCTCTAGCCCCCACTCATCCCCCACCCCTATTTCTCGCCAACCAATGAGCAGAAAAGAAAAGGGAGGAAGGGGCTGGGTGTAGTGGCTTATGCCTGTAATCCCAGCACTTTGGGGGGAGCTGAGGAGGGAAGATTGCTTGAGCCCAGGAGTTCGAGACCAGCCTGGGCAACATAGTGAGACACTGTCTCTACAACAAAACCAAAAAAATTAACCCGGCTACTCAGGAGGATGAGGCTGAAGGATCACTTGAGTCTAGGAGGTTGAGACTGCAGTGAGCTGTGATCATGCCACTGCACTTCAGCACCCCCAACTCAAAAAAGAAAGGGGAACAGGGGAGAGGGAGGAGGGAGGGAGTGAGGAAGGGAGGAAGGGAGTCAAGGAGGGAGGAAGAAAAAAGGAAGGAACGGAGGGAGGAAAGGAAGAACTTACCCCAAATTGGGCTCCATTTTGATTCAGGGCAGGTGGATGCCCAGCCCTCTGCTCTTCTGCCTCTTGGGCCTACAGAACCACTGCCCCCCCCCCAGCTGTCAAAACAGCTGCCAAGGGGTCTGATGAACCACAGCAGGAGGCATCCTCTGTAGCTGGTGATGTCTGCCCAGTTGAAGCAACTGAAGATGAAATCTTGCAGTACTCAGGTGAAATCTTGCAGTACTCAGGGCTGAAAACCTGATGCTTCTCCCTCCCCAAATCAGAACCCTGAAACTCTGGGTCAGCTCTCAAGGAACAGAGTCTACAGTCCCCAGACAGGGAAGATTCAACCAAAAGGTCACATGTCAGCAAGGAGGAGTAGAGACAGGAGCCCTGGCTCCAAACAAGTTGTGTGACACTCGATAAGGATGGAAAGCTCCATGCCACAGGAAGCAGTATGAGGAGGGGCTGCAGGGTCTTCGAGGGGTCATCCACCACTGGTTCACCAGAAAATCATGTGGCCACTCTGAACCTTGGTTTTCTTTCTTTTTTTCCTTCTTTCTTTCTTTTCTTTTCTTTTTTTTTTTTTGGAGGTGGAGGGGTCTCACTCTGTCACCCAGGCCGGAGTGCCATGGTACGATCACAACTCACTTTAGCCTCAACCTTCTGGGCTCAGGTGATCCTTTTGCCTCAGCCTCCTGAGAAGCTGAGACTATAGGTGCATGCCCCCTGCTAATTTTTTGATTTTTTTTTTTTTTTAGAGAAGGGGGTCTATGTTTCCAGGCTGGTCTCAAACTCCTGGGCTCCAGCAATCCTCCTGCCTCAGCCTCCCATAGTGCTGGGATTATAGGCATGAGTCACTGCACCAGGCCAGTTTTCTCACTTGTAAAAGAAAAACGACCATTTTTAGAGTTGGGGTCTCACTATGTCACCCAGGTTGGAGTACAGCGGCACGATCACCAGCTCACTGCAGGTTCAACCTCCTGAGTTGTTTAAATGGCTGTTAATTTTGCTATGATTTATTAAATAAATTTTGTGTCAGACACTGTCTTGAGTATTTCAGTTCATCTTTGTACCAAATATCTATGGAGTCATTTTGATTCCCCTTTGACAGATGAAGAAGATGAGCCTTAAAGAGGTTAAGCAACTTGCCCAGTATTTCTCAGCAAGAACCAGTGAAAACAGGATTTGATCTCAGGTCTGTCTCACGCCAAAGCCCATTCTCCTAATAACTACTCTCAGCTTCCCTAAAGTCCCTTCCCCTTCTAGTTTCTGTGACTAAGTGCCCAAACATGAGGTGTTCATGGCCTCAAAGAAAAGGGACACCGCTGTCTTCCCAGCCCACAACCACAGTTAGTTCATCTGTGTCCAGCAGTGACTCCGCAAAGACGTAGCACGTGGCTCTGTCAGTGAAAAAACTGTCTGTCCACAGGAAGTCCCAGAGGTAGCTAGCAAGCAGACCAAGTCTCAGCTCTGTCAAGCAATGTGTTAGAAACACGGATTCCACAGCTGTTGTCCTCTGCTTTCCAAAGGATCTGAATTGAGGAGACTATTTTTTCTTTTCCTTTTTCTTTCTTTTTTTTTAATTTTAGAGACAGGGTCTTGCTCTGTCACCCAGGCTGGAGTGCAGTGACGCCATCATAACTCACTACCGCCTTGACCTGCTGGGTTCAAGTACTCTTCCTGCCTTAGCCTCCCATGTAGCTGGACGCCAGACCCATGCCACCGTGCCCAGCTAAATTTTTATTTTGCTTTTTGCAGAGATGAGATCTCACTATGTTGCCCAGGCTGGCCTCCAACTCCTGGCCTCAAGTGATCCTCCCTCCTTGGGCTCCCAAAGTGCTGGGATTGCAGTCATGAACCACCATGCACCCCCATGTCCGGCTGGAACTGAGGAGATCGTCTAGGTGATGGGTGCTGAGGGGCTGCTCACAGGAAACCCAAGCTTCCGAACCCGCCCTCTCTAGCCTGCCTCCCACTGTTTGCCCCCCACTCACTCCCACTTCATCTGTCTGTAACTCAGAGGGGCCAGGCTCATGCTCACCTCAAGGCCCTTGCATTTGCTGTGACCTCTGCTGAAAATACTACTCCTCTGCCTGTCCCCAGATCTTCACGAGTTTGCCATCCAGGTCTCGGATCATAGCGCCCTCTTCAGGAAGGCCTTTCTTGACCACCCCGTCTACATTAGCAACCTCGTATCCATTCCTAACTATCACATCGCCCTGCTTTACCTTCTTCGTGAGACTTAACGCTTGCTGAAATGCTTGTTATTTGCTTGTTATTTGCTGACATGCTAGAAAAGTGCCCAGTGACTAGGTGCTGAGTAAACAGATGGATGAAGACAAGAATGAATGGGACATCTTACCAACTTTCTGTATAATAAGGACCCGGGAACCTATATTCAAAAGTGCCCTTCCTTCTGGGTAACGAGGGCAGAGACCACAAGAAATCGCACGGTGGTTAGTAACAACTTAACAACCACCCAGCAGTTATATCCACACACATTGCTGGGCATGGTTCCAAAGCTAAAAAGGCACTAATTGCTTTTATATAAGGAGGTAGAAACACAGTCCTTCTGTGTCCCTTAGGTCTGATGGTCTGCATTATTGTATCTGTTACCGTGTTAATTGTTCCTGTCTCACACAGCCAGTTGGGGCTTTCTTCTGCATGTCTGGGATGGGGACAGGTTCCTATACAGAGCAGAGAGGTTTGAGAAGTGTGTGTGTCTCAGTGTGTGCGCACATGTGTATGTATAAAAGCAGTCATGCTCTAGGAAGGGTTAACATGCAGCCAGACTGTGCCCAGGCCCTAAGACTGGCCCAGGAGTGGGAGGGGTGGGCCTGGAAGGTGGGGCGGGCTTGGCTGGCACTCGCTGCCTTTTCCACAACAGGAATGAGATGCCTGCCCAGCTGGTCTGAGAGAGGCGAGCTCAAGTCGCCTTTAGGAATGGCTGACAAAGCCCACACCTGCAAATCCCTCCCTCTCAGCTCCTCCACGGCAGGTTGTACTTGGGAGACTCTCCGGTCTTTAGAGGAATGAGCTGAGAGTGAGCCATTCACCAGCTCACCAGCACTTGGGGGAAGCAGGAGGCAAGGATGGACGTGGTTGACAGCCTTCTTGCAAACGGAAGCAACATCACCCCTCCCTGCGAACTCGGGCTCGACAATGAGACGCTCTTCTGCCTGGATCAGCCCCGTCCCTCCAAAGGTAGGTGTCAGAAGCTGTTGTTTTATTTCAGACAACTATTGAGTTGCGGGAGAAATCAGCAAAGGCAAAGCTGATAAAGAAAACATAACAAAGTCATTGTGAGACATGACTGGAGAGAGTCATGCGTTCAGAAGTTTGGATAAGAGATCAGAAAGCGGAATAGGGTCAGATATTCCTATTGTTCTCCATGAGAGAGCTGAGCATTCATGAATAGGACTTGGGGGGAACAAAAGCTCAGGGAGGGGAAAGCTAAGTGTACAAGAAGGGAGTACAAGTGTCCAAGCTTGAACTTAACAAGCCTCGCAGAAAAGGTGCTGTCACCATGTAGCAGTTGCCTTTTCCTGGGGGGAACCCAGCGTGAAGTTGATTAAAGCAAAAATAATGCTTAGCAGCTCAGGAAGAAAGCGATCACTGTTCACTTGAGATGCTTTTGTTCCTAAGAAAAAGTGGTTCCCTGAGTGATCCTTTCACACACCAAGCTCTTCAAAACCAGTAATTCACTCTGTGCTTGCCTGTGTGTTTCTGCAAAATGTTGTCAGTTGCAGGAATAGTTGGGTTCGATGATGTACACCCCTGCATGGGAAAACAATCGGCAGGAAATATCCGTTCACTTTGCGCCGAGGGCTTAGCATGCCGCTCTCCTCATCTCCATCCCTCTGTCTTGTCCCTGTGACTCTCTGCAGAGTGGCAGCCGGCAGTGCAGATTCTCTTGTACTCCTTGATATTCCTGCTCAGTGTGCTGGGAAACACCCTGGTCATCACGGTGCTGATTCGGAACAAGAGGATGAGGACCGTCACCAACATCTTCCTACTGTCTCTGGCTGTCAGTGACCTCATGCTCTGCCTCTTCTGCATGCCGTTCAACCTCATCCCCAACCTGCTCAAGGACTTCATCTTCGGGAGCACTGTTTGCAAGACCACCACCTACTTCATGGGTAAGTCGTGGCTGGTGACTCTTTCCAGAGCTTGTCCCAGATCTTCCCAAAGCCCCAGCGGCCACAGTGCAGGAGCCCTGCTGAGTGCTGAAACATGGAATATCTGGCTATGCGGGGCTCTGAGCAAGGACGTGGGTGTTGGCTTTATGTGAGTCCCCAGAAGTTGGTCCCCAGTCATCCGTGTCAGAAGTCACTTTCTAAGAGTGAAGTAAGTTAATATGAAAACACAGAGGAGGTTGATTTCGTTTGCTTCTGTTTGAAGGGAGGAGGGATTCAAAAGTGACTTGAAGCCGTGTTCTATACCTTTCTGGAAGCCGTGGATTGTATCCTGATGTCTACTAAACTTGAGGCATGGTTTCTAGAGATGGCAAGGGCTATGGAGGAGGGTTCTTTGCTGTTGTTCCTCTTGTTTTCTTAGGGAATATTTGAAAAACAGTTCTAGGATTCACTTCTCAGCCTGCTCCCCCAAATGCTGGGACCATCTCAGGCAGACAGAAAGAGAGAGATCTCTGTTCCTAGGTGAGGAGATGAATTTGCTCCTGGGAGGTGTGGGGTCACTAAGCTGACCCCAATTGGCTGAGATTTGCAGCTCTCTGCCTGTGCCAACCAAAATAATGATAATACTAAAAATCCCAAGAGCTAATATTTTTGAGTATTTTGTATGCACCCGATGTTAGACTAAGTACTTTTATTTACATGATCTACAGTTTATCTCCCAACCAACCTATGAAGTGAACAGTTATTCTTCCTTGTCCCATCATGGAGGCAACAGAGGCACAGAGAAGTTCATAACGTGCCTAAAACACACACAGGTACAAAGCCACAGAGCTGAGATTTGAACCCCGATTTGTAGCCACTACAGTGGTGAGCATACTGCTATAGGTCTCCTGAAGCAGAACAAAAACACATTTCTGGTTCCCTTCTGGCTGCCAAATTGCCTAGTCCTTTGACTTTTCTGAGAACTAGCTGGGAGAGATGGGAAATAAGAGGAGAGTTATCTTTTGTTCTGACCCAAGTCTTGTAAAATATGCAGAGCTGAGTTTGACTAAGGCAGTTTTAAAGGACCGGAAAGCTTTAAAAGTCTGTATTTTTCCCAATTGAGGAAGTGGTCTTCAGCACAGACAAAATGATGATGAATGACTGACCCTCATGCCACAGACAAATATCCAAGAATGTGTCAACCTGGGTCCAAGTCCTCAGGGGAAAAAAAGGAGCTTACAAATGAAAGTGAAAAAGATCCCTGTTAAAAAAGGAAACAATAATAATAATTATAATAACTAGCATTTCATAGTGATTTAGTCTTCCAAGGCCTATCCCATATATATCTTATGGTTATATTATTTGGGACCCTTAACCAGAGTATGTGAGAAGAGATTTTAAATGAGTGCTTTTCTGGTTCTACGACACTGTGAATGCCACAAAATTAAGTTCAAAATGTTTAATTTTATATTATTATATAATTATATATTATTATATGTTGAGTGAATTATAACTCAATAAAAAAATTTGTAATGGCCAAAAAGAAAAGCAAGCTAATTCTGAAAGTATTTGCAATACCATAGTGATTTTGTTGAATTCTAAGTTCAGTAATTTAAATTCTTCTCTCAATTTTGCAATGTCTTCAATACTACTATCAACAATCAACATTTATTACAATTCTAACTGGTAGACAAAAAAAAGAAAATGGATGTTTGCCTGACAATGAGTTTATAGTCAGAGTGGACCCATTACACAGAATTGACTCTATTGATTTTGGGGCTCTACTCTTGGCTCTAAATGTCATCAACTCTTTGGGATACAGTATAGTAAAACACTGCAACTCCTATCCCAGGACATGAGTTTTTAGTTAATGGTCTTAGAGTCATAGTTTCCTTTAAGACTCTAAGAAAAGTAGGGCTAGCCTCCCTAGAAAAGGAACATCTTTGGACATAGTTTCAGAAAATTAGTTTGTATCCATAAACATAGTGAGCTAAGGACCCCAAGTTAAAAACCTCTGCCCTCAAATTAATACTAATTTATATAAAGTATATTAATTTAAGAAATCATGGTGAGAGATAATCAGAAAAACTGACAATGTATAGCTGAATAATTCTAAAGAGAATTTTAAGGGGATAAGAAGATATGTGTGCATGTACAATACAAAAATTAGGGGAAATTAAGATTTTCTGACTACACCTAGGCACATATTTTTAAATGAGGTATATCTTTTTTTATTTTTTATTTTTTTTGAGTTGGAGTCTCACTCTGTCACCCAGACTGGAGTGCAGTGGCAGCTCCCGGCCACCGCAGCCTTGACA